CGCGGAGACCCCCGATGCCCCCGCCCACCACCGTCACCATTGGTCACCCTCCGCGCCCCTCCCCGTTTCCCGCTGCTATTGGCTCGTCCGCCCATCCGTCAAGTCCGCCCCGCCACCGTTTCCCACACAGCGTTGCGAAGACTGCAGACGCCCCGCCTCGTCGCCGCCGCCATTGGCCACCGCTGCAGAGCAATTGGGCCGCTCGCACGTCGATCACAGCTCTGCTGTCCCCGCCCCCTTTCCTCCACGCACACGAATCCGAAGCTTGAACTCCAGGGTGTTTGCATACGGCCCCATCCCAGCGCACGGGGCACAGGAGTGTGGTGGTCCCTGGCTGAGACGAGGCGGCCGAGTCCGGGAGGACCCAAGCCCTAGGAAGCTGCGTCGACTTCTTTCGCGGAGACCCCAGGGGGGCGGTCCGGAGTCCTCGGGCACACCCTTGCCGGGGCGGGGCGGGGCCCAGGGAGCGGAGCCCGCTGCGGCGGCACTTACGTCCCGGACTTCCGGGCCCGGGCAGTACGCGGCTCTGCCGCCGTGCTCGGGGTGGTCCCGTCGGTAACGTCCTTGACGGCGACACGCGCTCGCCCGCCCTCTGCTCGGCAGCGCTCCCCAGGCCCAGGCTGTGGCCCCGTACCGAGTGACCGCGGCCCCGGGGCCGAAGACGGGTCCTCTCCTGAACAGCAAGCCGCGTGGACGCCGCAGTGTGGTTTCGTTGCGGTGCGAGATCTGGCCCTCAGGAGGTGGTGCAGCACCTGTGAGTGCGCCGGGCCTTCTCGCCTGCCTTTTCTTGGTTTCTTCCTGGTCAGCTGTGGGCAGGGCAGGGCCTCGTGTCCAGGTGACCGGAACCACGCCGAGGCCTCCAAGCAGCGCCACTCAGCTCGCTCCTAATCTACAAGGTAACTTCGAAGGCCCTGCCGGTTCCTGTGCTCTGGCCATGTCCTTCCACCGGTAGTAGCCATTTCCTGGAGGCTGGGTCACAGCAGACATAGTCACCCATAACACACAGTGTTTACAGAGCAGCAGCCAGCTGGGCAGAGTCTTGGTCCTCAGCTGGTGAGGGGCAGGGGACTGAGTATTAACTGGCGCTGGATCATAAACTGCAAGTCAGGAAGGGCCTCTCCTGGAGAAAGGCCACTGTGCCGAGACTTGAGCCCAGCCTGTGCCCCGGCCTGGCAGTTCCCACCCCCAACAACCAGCTGTGACGTCTCTGAGGCCCCTTCTTCAAGGACTAGAAGCACTGAAGGGGCGATGTTTCCTTCTCGGTGTCTGAGGCTGCCCTCGATGGGGCTCCAGCAGATATAGTCACGGCTGCCTGGCTTTCCACCTCCCAGGACGGAAGCCGCGCCATTCCCACGGGGCCTTCCCAATACAGCCTGTGGAGCCAGCACAACCATCTTCACTTTGTAGGTCAGGGCCTGGGCTTTGGGTTCAGGAACCTGTCTATGGGTGAGATGCTCTCGTTCCCTCTGACCTCTGACCTCCCAGCCTTAGAGTGGAAAGGCACCACAGGAACCCATGTGTGTCTGGGGCAGTTGGCCCAGTCAGGGAAGTATGCTGACGGAGAAATGCTGTCCCCAGTGTCCAGAAGTCCGTGTGGGCGAAGGCCCTGGCCTCCCATGCACTTCCACAAGGACACACTGGGGTCCCCTAAGTGCCAGGCCAGGCCTGGGCCCCAGAGATGGAGGAAAGGACGGGACACCATCCATGCTGTGAGGGACCTCAGGCCAAGGCAGAAGCAGCCAAGGACAGTGGGAATGTGGGACCTCCACTGCAAAGTCCTGGTTCAGTCCCAGCCCAGGTGCCCACTTATCAGGTGGTCGAGGGTAATTGTGAGCCCATTCTGGAGCTGAGCTGTCTGGTGAAGGACCCTGATGTCACCACCTGCAGTTCCCATGCCTACTAGCTCTGGGTGAGGACTGGGGCCAGGTCTCTGGACTGATACTCTGTCCGAGCAAGGGGATGCATGAGTAAAGGGAGAGGTCTGCTGTGTCTTTGCACCCCCCTTCAGGATACTCCACCGCCTTCTGTGCTGTGCCCCAAGCCTTCATTGGATGTAGGGGATCACTCACTGCAGCAAACAGACCTTGACCCCCAAATACCTAAGCTCAAGGAGCACCCACAAGAGTTAGTCAAGAGCTTCCAGCCCCAGCCTGGTGCCAAGGAGAGATCTCACTAACATCCCACAAGTGGACAGAGCCAGAAACCTCTGGACGCTGGAAGTAGTGGGTGAGAGGGTGACCAGAACAGGATGTCTACATGGTCTCAAATATATCTGGATAAGTTGCTTATTAACTACAAGGGAAAGTGGCTTTGCAGTGGGAAACCTGGCGGACAGCACTAGGGATGGATAGACGGACACCATGTGCCTCCCAAGGGATGCCCTGACAAGGACACAGCCGCAGCAGCTGTTGCCACAAGTGCATGAGCCACACCTCATCACAAGTATCAGTCAGCTGGCTCTGTCTTCTACAGCGAGTGTCCTGAGAGACACTTGCACCAAGTCCCTGAGGAGGTTGCCCCAGGCCATGTGCGCACTGGGCCACACTCGCCTAGTGAGGCTTCTGCGGGAGTGTTGCTGGACACAGTGGAGTGAGGTTGGCAGGTGGGACAAAGGCATCATGTCCATGGTCAAGCCCTGAGTTTGGTCACTACACTGGTTATGTACATCAGCGCCCTTGTCCTTAAAACATGCACACTAAAATGTTAGGGATAAAATGAGGACAAGTGGCTTGATGGCTCAGAAGGAGACAAGAGTGCGGACATGAGAGGTCAGGTGCAGCGAGGCTGGGCGGGGCCCACCGAAGGTCTGGGAAGTGCGTGTGTTATTCTTATGCAGTGTTTCCATAGGTCTGAAATCACCTCACCACCAGGTCTGGTCTTAAAAGCAGGAGGGAGTGTGGGGATGAGAAGCGGCCTCCTGTGTGGCTCGCCTTCAGCAAGTCGCCCTCACTCCAAGCTGGCTCCTGGCAGGAGGTGCTGGCAGACCCTGCTCTGTGGGCGGCCTGAGGATCAGCAAGTGGTCTGGGCAGGGCTGGCCATGGAGAAGATCCAGCACAAGGCCAGCACAGTAGGGGTGGTCGGACCACGGGGGTGGGAGGAGGGGGTCCCCACAGATGAAGGCTGACCCCAGGCAGGGGCTGTGCAAGTCCAGGGATGACCAAGGGCAGGAGGACGGGAGAGGCCTGGGAGGTGCAGGTAGCATCCATTGAGGGCTGAAAGTGACTGGGGTAACTGATGTTCCCTCAGCCAGCTTTGGTGCCAGCCCAGGCTGGTCCTCGGGACATGGAGAGTAGCCCCGCACCCAGCACAGAAGAGTCCCACGACACGGCCTCCACAGAGCAGTGGGCTGGGCCGAGTGGCAGGACCCTAGCCCAGCAGGAGCCCTGGAGGAGGGGTGAAGGGGCAACAGCTGGCAGATAAGGACGAGTGGAGCCAGGCAAAGCCTGGGAGGAGGCATAGCAGGCCCCAGATGCGGCTGGGTCCCGGCCTGGGGTTGCCAGGAAGCCCAGGCACTGCAGGTGAGGGAGACCATTCTCAGCAGACTCTGGGTGGGTGCAGTCCTGCCCGCCAGGGGCCCTCTGGGACTCTCCAGGCAGTCTCCACTGACCCTTTGTGGAGCCACAGGCCCTCTGCGGGCTCCAGCTCCGTCTCCATCCCAAGGACAGCAGGCAGAAGAGGAAGCCCCTCAGGGCTGCTTGGACACTGCAGGATGGATGGGCTAGTTCAGTGCAGGGAGTGCCCTGCTTCACGTGAGTCCATACACTCGTCACAGCCAGGAGCAGTTATCCCCCCTGCCCCCCAGCAGCCCCTGTGTCGAGGGGAGGCCACAAACCAGAGGGCTTGTGGCCCCGTGTCCATCCACCCAACGTCTTCAAGGGCCGAGGGCCCGCACACCCACCCACCAGACCTGTTTCAGGGGCCTCAAACAGGAAACAGGCAGCAGTCGTCATCCCAGGACAATCTCAAGTGAGGAGCCCAAGTCCCTCCTGGTGGTGCCCGCACCACACCCACCCAGGGCTTCCCCAGATGGCTGCCTGTGCTGCAATGGGAAAGGCTGAGCCTGTGCCCCAAGCACACTGGAGGTTTTATTGTCACAGCCATGAGGGCGGGGCCAGGACTCGCCACTCCCTACCCGCCACCCCTGCTGAGTCGCTGTGGCCTGCTGCAAAGGAGTGCAGGTGGTGGACAGTACCGAAGCTGGAGAAATGGACAGGGCTCATTGCCTCCTTCTGCTGGCACCACAGACATTTCCATACCCTCTGGCACCTTCAGGTCCCTTCCCCGGGGCCCTGGGATCCCATGGGCACACCCGATCCTGCTGAGTCCAGCAGGCAGGCAGCCTGAGTGCAAAGACCACCTCCCAGGGGACACTCATGCCCACAGCTGCAGCAGCATCTACTCAGGAGGGGCTGCCGCCTCCTGTTAGAAGCCAGTGAGGGAAGTGGAAGATTTGGCCACAGGCCCTGTTCCCACAGGCATTCCAGCCAGGAACGGGGCAGCCACATGGCCTAGCTTCAGAGGGATCTGCTGATGGCTCCTTCACAAAGCAGTCTCTCTGTGGAGCACTGACAGGCAAACCCCAGGCAGTTCAGGGTGTGCAGGCCCTGCCATCTGGCTCACGGGGCTGGGGACGGGCCAGCAGCTGCTCAGTCCCTCAGATTGGGAGCCGCCACTCCACTGAGGCAGCTGGAGGTCATCAGGGACCCAGGAGAGTATCCTGGAAGGGGCCCCTCTACCCACATCCGACAGGTGAGGCCAGGGAGACCACCAGCCTAACCACAGGGACCCTCCCGGGGTCTGGGTAATAGGAGGGGGCAGACTGGGAGGCGGGTTCCAAGGCAGGTGGTGCTGGTGACTGGCTGACTGCCCCCTGTTCAGCCCCCCATGACCTGCGAGCCAGGAGCAGGTGTGACCGGCAGGGCCCTGGCAGGGTTTGCAGAGGTCCCGGAGAGCCAGGGAGGGAAGGCAAGAGCAGGGCCGTCCACACTCAGGATCCACTGGCTGCTGCACGGATGTGCACTGCCCCCAGTCAGAGCCCTCTGGCAGAACGGACAGCTGGCTGTGGCCATGTGGTGGGTTGGGCTCCTCAGTCCTGCTTGTCCCCTCTCTGCCTCCAGGGGTAGATGAGCTCCCCGAAGAACAGCTTGCGGCACAAGGAACCCCAGGAGTGCTTGGGGTGGCAGCCACAGCTGGGGAGGCGGTAGGTGTGCACCACGCGGGTGTAGGGAAGGGGGTTTATCTGGAAGGACAAGGGTGGTGGTCAGCAGAGTGGTGGGGGATGCCCTGGCCGTGTCTGCAGAGAAAGGACTGGGGTGCAGGCACTCTTGGCCTGGCTGGCCCTCTTGGGGGGTGGCGTCCCTGGGATGGACAAGCTCTGTCCCAGACATGCCCTTGCCTGTGGAATGAGCCAGGCCTGGTCCTGGGGATGCATGTGCACACAGGGCTCACAGGTCAGATGCTCCTCACTCCCCCAAGCCAGCGTCCTCTGCTGTTTGCTCTGGGCAGACTGGAGGGAGGTGAGGTGGGCGTGGGAGCCCCGCACAGAGACCGACTCCACCCCAGGACTCAGTCTGCTTCCAGGAGCCTACTCAGGCCTGGAGAAAACCATGCAGACTCTCTACATCTGAGCGACATGCCACACTGGGGGCAGGGGGGTTCAACCTGACATCTGGCAAGTCACCCAGAAACTCACTCTGCTCCCTCCACAGGAACCAGGCACCCAGAACTGTTTCACATAAAAGAGCCGAACAGTCTAGTCCAACAGGGAACTGTGTCCCAAGGCCTTCACTAAGCCACTCTGTTCCACCTGGAACTCAAGCCCCTGGGGTTGAGGGCAGGAGACAGGACACAGGGCCAAAGTGGACAGTCCCTGGGCATCTCTGACACTAGGGGAGACCCCATCCACGTGCCAGGCCAGGCCTCGGCCATGCAGACTCCAATGGACCTCTCAGATCCTGCTGGGAGTGGGGGGCCTTCCTGTGGGCCTTGCCTCCCAGCTCCACTGGGCCCTCCTGCCTGCACCTTACCCAGGCTGTCAAAGCACACCCAGACCCCTCTCCCAGCTGACCCCAGAACATGGGCAGCAGCATGGGGACGGTGGGTCCTGGCCACAGGAAGTGGTAAGGGGCACAGGGGAGACCTTACCTGCATCAGGAGACGGAGGGGCCTGCCAGCCTCATGCTCCAGGATGCAGAACTTGACGCCAGCTGCAAAAAGAACAAGTTGTTTATGAAGGAGGGTGGCAGCCCCCACCCCAGGTGCACACAAGGCCCTGCAGACAGCCCCCATCAGTGCTGCTGTGTCAGCAGGGGCTGGTGTGGGCAGAGGCCCTCTGACGGCGAAGGCCCTTCACCTGCAAGCGGTACCCAGAGGGCCACAGGCCTGCATGTGCACACACAGCTTTCCCTGCCCCCAGCCTTCCTATCTGTCTTTCTGGAATATCACAGCCTCCTGTAGAGCCTCCCTGAGAGGCAGAAGCCGAGCGTATGGTAAGCTGGGCAGCAGGGGGCATAGGCCGTGCTGTCTTCTGAACAGGATGCAGGTTTCCCAACAGCATACAGAGCCCTTGCTGGGTGGTGGCAGCCCTGCTGGCTTCTCAGTGTCTTCCAGCTTCTGTGTGCATGGCCGACTAGGGGACCCACCACACCCCAGCCTGCAGTTCAGGCTCCCAAGCCTCGGGTGTCCCAAGGCAGAAGGCTCTTGAAAAGAGAGGCAGGAGCTGATGATGAAGAGGCCCCAAGGCAAACTCAAGAAGGAGGCCGTACCTGGGGCCTTCCACGTGCACTTAAAACTGTCTACTCTGGGGCCGGCCTGGTGGCGCACTGGATAGTGCGCCGCTTGGGAAGCGCGGCGGCGCTCCCGCCCGAGGGTTCGGATCCCGCATACAGACCAGTTCCGCTCACTGGCTGAGCGAGGCGCGGGAGCAACACTGAGGGTTGCAATCCCGCTGCCGGTCCCCAGTCCGGTACGGGGGCAACACTGAGGGTTGCGATCCGTTGCCGGACACGGAAAAAGACAAAAGACAAAAAAAAAAAAAAAAAAAAAAACCTGTCTACTCTGGCTGGAGCCGCAGGCTGGGTGGGAGGGTGCCAGGTGTCCCAGGCTGCTGTGGGGAGCTGCTCTCCCCCACCTGGTCTTCCCATTCTGAGGTGGGGGTCCGGGAGATGTGGACAATGCTGCAGATGGGTCCCTTGCCTGGGCCACCCTGGGGTCAGTGGGGAAAGTGTCTTGGAAAGATGTTTGCAAAGAAGGTTTGCGAGTGTCCAGCAGGTAGACTGGGCCAATGGGAGCTGTGGATTCTGGAGCAGGATGACGCCTGACCTCCAAGGAGGCAGACACAGGATCAGAGCCAATGCAACACGCACATCCACACCGTCTGGCTCCAAGCTGGCTGTGAGCAGCCGTGTTAGTGCAGCCTGCGCTGCTCAGCTGCATCCTGGACACAAGGCCACCTCAGGGCCTCACTGAACAAGTACTGCACAGAGGTTGTGCAAGGAAATCACCAAGTCTCCTCCTATGTCCAAAGCCCCTGGGCCAGGTGGGCCGACCCATGACCCCACAAACCCTTAGGGGCGTCTGGCCACCCCTGAGGCTGGTGCCTGCAAGCAAACTGGGCAGCCCACCTACAGAGTGCACAGAGGGGCTGCTGGGATAGGGTTTTGTCCCTGCAGACAGGGAAGGGTGCTCCTGTTACACAGGGTTTAGCCAGCCTAGTGGCCCCCACTTGGCCCACCACTTCCAAGGCTGAGAGGCACCAGCAGACACACAGCCCCATGCAAGCACAAATAGACGAATCTTCTCTGAGCCACGTCCAGGCAACACCCATGCTACCGCACACAGACACTACAGCAACTGTCCACACTTACTACAGAAGAGGGTGAGAAATAGGAAGAGCTGCCTCTGTGTGTTTCTGAACCTGAGTGCCAGGTGGGCCCTTTCCCTCCACCACACAGGAGGCGCTGGTCCAGCGGGTGCCCGGGGCGAGGAGGCTTTGTCTTCTCCACCCACCCACTCCATGCACACCAGAGCTTCCAGGTAGGAGGTGCACATGGCCAGCCCACAGGGCCCACAGGTGTGCAATCAGCACTTACCCGCCAGTCTGTAGGGCCGGCAGAGCCGAAGACCGAGTGAGTACAGTGGAAGGGAGTTGATGAGCTCCACGAGCAGATGGATCAGGCCTTGCACAGTGACCACCAGAAGCCGGAGCTGCAGTAGAGCGACACTCATGGCCAGAGTCCGCCAGACATGCCCTGAGCAGAGCGACCCAACTGGATCCTGGGCCATAGCAAAGGGTGCCCAAGGCTTGAGGGCCCTGTGGAGAGGTGGGCCCTGCCCGGAGGAGTGCACAGCCCTGCCCTTTGCTCTGATCCCAAGGCCCACACACCAGGAGGCAGGGCAAGCGCAGTCGTGGGGCACGCGGCCTTGCCTGCAGCAGAGCAGCCAGCCCTCCTGACAGTCAGAGGATGCTCTGTCCCCCAGCCCCACACCCTGAACAATGGCAGCCTGGGGGCCCTGGGCCACCTGGGTGCCTCTCAACTGCTGCTGCCCGTCCTCCAGTGCCCAGCACAGGGGAGGCCACCTCCACGACTCCACTTGTCATGGGTCCTGCCCCCTCCCCCTTATGTACTCAGCTGCGCATGCCAGGGAAGAAGGTGGTGGTGCCCCCCCAGGGTGGGACCCCTGCCTGCTCCAGGGCCCAGCACACACTGCCCAGAGGGCCCCATCAACGTGGCCTGCAGGGGTGGACAGTCTGCCCACAGCTGCCTGGCTTCCAGGCAGAGCTGGCAGTAACCACTGCAAGCATGGCTGGGGTGCTTGGCTTACCAGGGTGAACACTAGGTAGTACAGGGCTGTGGTGGGCAGGAGGAACAGCAGGATGGTGAAGAGCAGAGTCCCAATGAACAGCTGCGTGGGAGGACACCAGTACACCCAGCATCAGTGAGACCCCTGTCGGGGGGTGACCCCACCAGCAAGGCTGTACTCATGCTGTTCCTACCCCCTCATCCTGTAACTGCAGTCAGGACTCTTTGGCTTTTCCACCAACGGGAGGGACATATCCTATGGACTTGGTGACTCGTGGAAGAGATGGGTAGGGTGCCAGCAGGGTGCGCAGCCCCCACAATGTTATGAAAAAAGTGCCCTGAATGGCAGCACCCAAGGGCCCCGTGTCAGGTAGGAACAAGCGAGTGCAACAGGCCAGGGCCAGGGCCTGTGCCCGGGTCACTTCCAGGGATCTGTGCCTGGGGCCCAGTGCCATTGGGAGAGCCAGGTCTGTCCCTGCCTGGGGGAAGGTCTGCACTGTCCAAGGGCGCTGCCTGCGCTTTCGCACTGCAGGCTTGCGAGCTGCAGGACGTGCACAAGGCTGCCCCCTTGTGGTGCCTAAGTAGCTATGCTGGCCAGGCTGGCACGGGTCAGCAGGACTGGCGCTGTGGGCAGCCAGCCATACAGCATGCTGGCCAGGCGGAGCCAGGCACCCCTGCCACCACAAGCCTTGCCCAGCACCTGGTCCAGGTCGTAGGAGCAGGAGTCCACCCGCTGGCGCAGAACGTTCCACTTCTTCCCCCGGAACAGACGCCAGAGCGAGGACAGGCCATAGATTTTCAGGCAATACAGCCTGCAGGACACAGGAGCAGTCAGCAGTCAGGGGCCCCAGGCCACGCTGCACCCCTCACTCACCCAACTCCAGAGCCTGTTGTGTGCCCGCAGCGGGGCAGCCCATGCCTACCTGGCACCGTAGACGTAGAAGCAGTAGATGTGGAAGGTGAGGAGCGCGATGATGTCCGACAGGATGGATAGGGCGACGGTCAGGCCCAGGCAGGCTGAGAGGCCCACATGCCATAAGATGCACTCGATGAAGGGGGACATGAGATGGATGTAGCCTGGAAGGATGGGGTTGGCCCTGACAGGGGTATCCAGGGTGGCCCTGGGACCCCCCGCAATCCCTCACTGAGGATGGGTACCAAAGACTTTGGTAACTGGCTCTGACCCTCAGCTGAGCAGCTGCCCAGCACTGTCCCACCCTGTGACACTGGAGGACAGGAAGTGGAGACAAGTGGATAGGGGCCTTTGCAGCCGCCCGAGGCACTCACTGATCCACAGGTGAATATGGTACAGGAAGAAGCGGCCCAACACCTGGTCCAGTGCCCGGTTCATCTTGAGCCCAGCGGGTGCCCCCATCAGCCACTGCAGCAGATGCTGAAGCTCCTTGGCCACGTGCTGCAAGGACACGGGAGGGGCACGCTGGGGGCGTGTAAATGGCTGGGGTCGGCATCTGCACTTCCCGAGATTATCCGTAACTGGGGCTCCCACCCTGGTATCCTTCCTCCGAGGGTCTGGACCTCCATCTCCTAACGTGGACGGGCACACGGGTTTCCCAAACTTGTCTGGGCATGGAACCTTCTTCACAGATGGCTTCCAGAGTCTGGGTCTGAGGAGAGACCTGGACTGGAGGCCTCTCCCAGCAGGACTGAGTGGCACAGCTGAGGTGGCCAGAGGTCTGCCCCAATGCTCCCTCCACCTGAGAATGTCCCTCCTGCTCCCATCTTACTACCTGGGCCACTGGGCCCACAAGAGCCCTCAGCCCGACTCCTGCCAGAGAACCCACCTTACCAGCTGCCCCCACAGAGGTGCAGCAGGCCCAGGCAGGTGACTTTGGGTGATCCAGAGGGTGTCGAGCCCAGCAGGGGCCCAGGCAGCAGGCAGGAGGGCTGGTAAGCAGGATGGCAGGTCCCCAGAGGGAAGGACAATGTTAAGTGGGGCAAGAGACAGCACAGGGACCCTTGTGAGCCAGCAGGCACACCAGTGTACTGGGGCTGTGCCAGCCCCAATGAGCAGCCCTGGGGTTCCCTTAGCTTTGTCACCAACGTAAGGCCACAGGAGGAAGACCTCCGCCCCCCACCTGCCCACCACACTGGCCTCTCTCAGCACTGTGCTAAGGCCTCAGCTGTGTAACCCTAACCTGCAGGAGAGCAGAACATTCTTTATAACTACAGCGTATTTAATATTTAAAGGATAAGAGCTTGGCAGCAGGAAGAGACTTTCATTTTTAAATTAAATATTTATATTTCTGAGCAATTTTGCAAAAGGGAGGTCTAGGACGAACCCAGCCAAAAGGTAGAGTGCAGGTGAGCGCAGATGAAGCGGCAGAGCGCCTGGCCCCAGCCTGGCTCCTCCTGCCTCCCAGGCTGGGCCTCCCCACATCCTCACAGCCCACAGGCGCTGAGAGGTGCCCACTCCTGCCTCCACAGTCCTGGCCCAGCCACAAAGACTACCCAGCTGGGCCTCAAGGAGGCACCCCACAGAGGTCCAAGGGTGGGCTGAAGGGCCAGAGGGACCAGCCTAAGCAAAAAGACGAGCTCCTGAAGGAAGACAGGGGTGTGGGCTCGCAGGAAGGAGCCAGTGATGCTGCTGCTTTGGAGGCAGCATGGAAATGCAGCAGGGAGGATGAGGACAGAGGAGGAGGGAGGGGCAGCACCCAGCCCAGAAGCACTGCACAGACCAGGTGGGGAGTTTAGGAGCACAGAAGACAAGCCTGTGTGCCATGGCAATTAGAATCAACACTGGGGCAGTGTGACCTCCCAAGTGTGGGAGGCCGGAGGTTGGCTGCACATAGACAGCCCTGGACACGGGGAAGTTTCCATGATGCTGACTCTGCGGAAGGCCCAGGAGAGCAGAGCGGGTCACAGGGTGGGTGGGCAGTGGAAGTGGAGACCCCATGACACTGGGCCTGGCAGCAAGAGGTGGGCTCCCCCTGCAAACCTCAACCACAGGTGGCCCCCAGACACAGCTACCTTTGGGAAGGAAAGGTGGGCACCTGACAAGACTTGCCCTGCACCACCCTCAGGGTGTCTCTGCAAGATACAGGTCCCAACAGCCCCCAGGGAACCTGCCCAGGGTTGGGGATGAGGACTCCCGCCCCGAGGGTCGTGTCTCTGGAGCAGGGAAAGGAAGAGCTGCTCTGGCCGGCCGAGAGAACTCTGCTGCCCCAGGAAGGGCCCCGTCCCCACCTCTGCCCCAACCCACTCACGTCAGCCACGGGGACGAGGGCATCAGCCAGCTGCCCAATTCGGTTCTTCCCGTGGAGCCAGGACAGTAGCGAGAGGCCAAGGGCCACATCAAGGAGCACAGAGACGAGCATGTTGGCCTTCCTGGAAGGGAGAGTCAGCCAGGAGCAGGTGGTGAGGGCGGCCAGCGGGCCACACAAGAGGCCCAGCCAGAGGGTTCAGCACAAGCCTGGTGGGGAGTGGGGGCTGGGTGCATGGCACATGCGACCTCACCAAGGAGACCCCGGGCAGGCCCCCACCTCATCAGCTGGGCAGGGCTCTCGGCCTTCTGGGTGCTGAAGACAAGTGTGAGGTGCTCCAGCCGGTGGCGGAGCTGCTCGCAGGTGGACAGTTTGCTCCCGATGAAGGACAGGGGCCACAGCCTGAACACCCTGCGATGGAGTGAACAGGATGGATGCTGATGCCTCCCGCAGGGCTCTCCTGCCTGCCAAGGCCCCTCTCAGTGCAGACAGGAGGGGCTGGGCTCAGCACAAGGCCCCAGGAGACCAAACACCGACAGCCACTCTCCTGCCAGCAGGGCAGGGAGGCAGAGGGGAGGGCCCGGCATGGCCCAGGGCAGAGGCACTAGGTGGGCGGGCAGTGCTCAGAGCACCCACCTCACTGTGCACTGGCGACCATGCAACTCCAGCCTCCCTACCAAGCACCGGCCCCAGGCACCCCTCAGCCCACAGCAGGTCCCCAAAGCCCATTGCTGAGGCTTGTCCCGATGGTGGGACAAACACCACCTCCCGCCCACCCGCCCGCACAGGGCCTGGTCAGAAGCCTCAATGAGGGTCTCTTGGGTGGACTTGGCTTCCCAACACGACTGTGTTCCCACACGGCAAGGGAAGCCGCCAGACACTTCCACAGACTTGTACAAGCTACGGGAGACGTGTAGACCGAAGGCAGAAGAAAGGCCTGACCACGATGCGGCAGTTTCCAGCCCTCGTTTCCATTCAGAGCCTCACTGGAGGTGGGGGGAGAGGAAAGGACTGGCGGAAAGTGCGGAGCTGCCAGCTAACTGCTGCTCAGAACCTCGGAGGAGGGGGGAGGTCTCAGCCCTGGAAGGTTTAAAGGCCTCGTCTTCAATGGAAGCAGCTTTGAACCAATTCCAAAAAGGAATCACATTCAACAGACCCTCCTTCTTCCTCAACACCAAGCAGAAGTTTGTGCTGGCTGCACCGAGACCCCCACCCGCACAGTGGTCTCCCGAGGCTGCAGATCGGCCCGTACAACTGGGGCCCCCAACAACACCCTGAAGGCACAAAACCACGAGGGGATGGAGGGGGCTTTGCTCCTGCAGTGACAGCCACATCTTGCACAAATGTCACAGTGCACATAACCACCAGCCAGTCAAAACCAACACTTGCCTGATGGGCTCACTGATATGTGGTACACAGGAGCAGTTCTTAAACGTTCCTGGGTCCTTTGAGAAGCTGATAGAATCTAAAGACCTTCTCCCACCAAAACTGCACCTGGACCCTGACACACACCTTCACCTAATTAATCCCCAAAACCCACTGCTCATGTCAAGATTCCCAGCCCATGGCGCTGTCCACACAGAGCTACCAGGCTCTCTTCCTCACTGATACTCAAACCTGATGTGCTGAATCCCTGGACCTAATGGTAGGGGGCAACTGCAGGTGAACCCCGGCCACACGCCGCAGAGTGACACCACCAAGGAGATGTCTCCTCACAGAGAGGGGCTCTGCATCCCTGTCCCCAGGTCCTGTATACATTAGCCAGACACACTGTGTTGCCCCAGCATTGCCCTCCGGGGCTTTTACAAATCCCTCAGCCAAGCCCACAGACCAGCAGTGTTCCAGGTGATTCCAAAGAGCAGCCAAGGTTGGTGAGCACTGGCAGCTAAGGTTGGTGAGCACTGGCCCAGGCACACAGCTGTCAGAGGGTGGGTGCCTCATGGGAATGCCTCTCCTACCAGCGCTGCAGCTCCTGGAGGCCTGCTAGATGGTGAGCTCAGGGCAGCAGGGAAGGGGGCTGTGTGCTCTCAGAAGGACGGACAATGCCCAGGGCAGGGCAAACCCAGGCCCGAGGGCAGCAAAAGCCCACATCTGTGCTCAGCCTCTGCATTCTCCGTCAGGGCCTGAGCAGTCTGAGGTTCACCCTGTGTCCCTGCCTGGTGGGCCCCATGCAACCACTGAGGCTGCCAGAAAACCCAGCTCTACCCCAGGAGCAAGGGCACCAGAACCATAGCCACCACCGGGATGTCCTCTGAGATGCCAGAGGAGGGAGGATGGAGAAGAGCTGGGCCCTGGGGCAGTGTGAGCCTCAGGACAGGCCCATCTGGGCACCCCTGCTCCTTGCAGACTGACCATTCACTGCACCCTCCCTGGCCCGAGGAGCACCTACCGGCAGGTGCTGGCAGCCGAAACCAGTGACAGCAGGCAGGCCAGCAGCAGGCAGACAGGCCCCGAGGCCCACTTTGCCAGCTCCACAAGGATGCTGGCCTCCACGCCCTCCGACTGCCAGTGGCTCAGCCGCACGGGGCCCTCGTTGAACTGGTTGCTGCGGAAGAGCTCCTTGCTGCGTGCCACTGTGTCAAAGACAGCAGCCAGGCCCCTGGTGCTGGCCGGGGCGTCCCCAGCCTGGTGGTCAGGCAGGACCGCAGATGGGTGCAGTCGGGACAGCAGCACTTTGCGCTGGTCGTAAAAGATGAGCATGACTTGGTCCTCACAGGGGACCCCCAGTGCCGCAGGTGCCTGCTGGCAGGATACTTTACAGCTCCAGGACTTGCTGCCCCTTTCCCGGCACAGCTGCAGCCAGGGATCATGGGGGAAGATGGTACCCAGGCCCTCCAGGAAGTGGCCCAGGGGCTCCTCGGGCTCCTGCTGGCTGTGGCACCAGGTGCCCAGCACGGCCATGCCTACCCGGCTGGCCCTCTGCACCTGCACCAGGAGCTCCTTGACCTGGGCAGGGATGAAGGGAAAGTGCAGCACAGCCAGGACCACGGCGCTGCTCTGCTCTGGGACCCACCGGCCCACCAGCAGGCCGCTGTCCACTGAGCTGCAGCATGTGGGGAAGAAGGCCTTGAGCAACATGCCAGGGACCCTGAAAGAGAGGGGGAGGAGCTCGGCTCAGACACACTGCTGCCACCACCACCACCAGGCCCCAGTGAGCCTGGGGGCTGGCAGCGACGTGGCTACAGGATGCGGCACAGATGGCCCTGATGGACACATGCACATGGCCACAGGGCCCACAGGCTGAGGCAAATCAGCTTTGGGTTTGGTCATGTAGGCTGGTGACCCCTGGGCTGTCTGTCTCACACAGGCCGTGCTCCTCCACCAGCCTGACCCGAGCACCATCCCTACTTCCTCACCAAGCACACAGGTCACCCCCAAGACAGCAAATGCACACCCCATGGCAGATCAACACTTTCTTCCATTTTGAGAAAAGCAGACTAAAACTCAGTGAGAGGGCCGGCCTGTGGCTCACTTGAGAGAGTGTGGTGCTGATAACACCAAGGCCATGGGTTCGGATCCCTATATAGGGATGGCCAGTTAGCTCACTTGGGAGAGTGTGGTGCTGACAACACCAAGTTAAGGGTTAAGATCCCCTTACCGGTCATTTAAAAAAAAAAAAATGAAACAGTGAGGTTACCCAACCTGCTCAAGATCACCTAACAAGGGTGTGTGTGGCTGAACACGAGGTTTTTAAGGAACCTGATTAAAGAATTTTTTTATGTGTAGCACATGGAAAAACGTATAATCTCATTAATAAAGTAATGCAATTAAAACTTTGACAAAGCATGATTTACTTATTAAGCTACGAAGAATAAAGATGAAAACTTAAAATGAAGTGCCACAGGGCTGAGGGAAACCAGACTCCTGCACAGAGCTGGCAGCTATGGGCAATGGTGCAGGCGGCCCAGAAGGCACCAGGGTATGAGCCTGGAGCCCAGAGCCCATGCCCTGCCTGAAGGAGCCTCCCTACCCTTGGCATCTACCTGCCACAGTGCTCAGGGAGCAGGCTCAGCTCTCACGGGCCTTCTGCTCTACTCTGAGCCCTCACCCTACCCACAGTGCCCCTGGGCAGCACCATCTTTCTCCGGGATCTCTGACAGCCACCCCAGGGCAGGTATCCCAGCAGGGGAGCGCATTCTCTCCTCTAGGATGCATTTCTCCACCATGTAGCTATCTAGAAATGGGGTAGGAATTCACAGTCCCTAGAGATCTGGAGGAGCACCATCATGTCCTCTCAGGCAGAGGGGACACAAGCCTTCCTGGCTTCTCACTATCTCGACATGGCCTTTGAGCAAGAATGGCCCCAAGCAGCTGTGATTCTTGAATTCTGTGGGACCCTGAGCCCTTCCTTCCTAGAAGTGAGCCAGCTGGGGACCGTGGGTTTCTTGGCAGGCACCCCCTGCTGAACTGTCAGCCAGGCAGGCTTTCCCCAAGTGGGCCTCACGCAGCATGGTGGTGTGGGGCTGCTGGGCTGGCTGGCAGAACCTGGGTGCCCACATTCACCTTCCTCAGACACTGGCTGCCCTGTCTTGCCTGCACAAAGGGCAGAACAGCCACCCTGAGCAAAGACCCCCAAATTGGAGCCCACACCCAAGAAGGGACACAGACCTTGGACTTAGTCTGGGCCTCCAGGTCCCAGGGCTCACCAGGCCTTTGGGGACAAGGGGACAGAGAGGAACACGGGTCTGGGTGGTCTTATATGGAGGAAGCCCTCTCCTGAGGGTCGAGGGCCTCACACAGATATGAATGCCCAGGGCTTGAGAGGCTACCGGCACAGCTGCTCTCCACTGCAGGTGGCCCAGACCAGAAGCTAGAGGGTCCAGATCTCTCACAGCAAGCCTGGGAAAGGGGCCTCTCACAGCTGTGGGTTCTCATGAAAAGGCCCTCTGGGTCAAGCTGCAGGACTCCCAAGTGCCCCTTCTTCTCAGTGACCAGAGAGGGCAGGCGATGGATAGAGGGGAAGCCCTGAAGCTCAACTCCAGCTCGGCCAATTCCCTGTGGCTAGCATCAAGGGGCAACTTCTCTCCCTGACCCTTCTGCAGGGCCTTCCCTCCAGAGGGCACTGATATGAAGGTCCAGGGGCTTGGTGAGAGGGACAGAGCAATTCTGCCTGTGAGGGGCCCAGCGCATTTGGCTGGGTGACCACCACAGGGGACCACCCAAAACAGTCCAAGCCTTTCAGTGTCAGCCCATCAGGACACACCAGCTCAGCCAAATGACAACATCACACCCTGCTGGAGGACACCCTTCACAGAAACTAAGGATAACTGCCCATGGCTATTGTCAGAAAAGAAACACAACTGGTCTAACAGTATACAAGCATCTGGGGGGAGCTTGATACATGGTGTGTTCACTTTGGGTAAACTCACGAAGTTGTACATACACATGCAATTTATGCACTTTCTTTCTGTATGTTATGCTTCATCTACAAAGTTAATCATTAAAAAAAGGAGAAAACAACAAAAAAAACAAACAAACAAACAAAACCCCCCAGCAGCTCCCTGCGTCTAAGCAAGGAGATTGGAGGGTAGAAGTTGATGTTCTTATCCGTGGGGTAGATAGAGAACTTAACAAATTATGAGGCAAATTCCCATCCCCACTCCCACTTCAGCCTCTGGGAGAGACTGGCGCGCAAAGAAGTGCACTCGCTTGCCAGGCTGCGGGGGATCAGACAGCCAGGAAAAGATGAAAGAGCAGGCAATCGATAGCCGAGGAGGTGCAGGATGGGAGAGAGCAGGCAGAAACTTGGGCAACGTGAGCATCTTTAAAGACTGTGATTAAAAAATAATAATAATAATAAAACAAGGGCACAAGCCTAGAAAAGCCTCCTCTGTTAAGAATGAGACCCAGCTCCCTTGTGGAACAGCCCCTTCCCACATCAGACAGGTAGCGCTCTCCCGGACACCCCTGCCCACAGGACGTGAAGTCAAAAGACTGCCTTACAAAGGACACGCACTCCTCTCCTCCTCTGCACGGACAGGTCCGGGAAGCCCAGCCACGACTGGCCGGGACCCGTCACAAGCTGACACCCTCCTGGGCGAAGCCCCCTGCACAGGGCTCCTCCAGACCTCACCGGAACGTCTCAAGAGCGAACAGCGCGCTGTCCGGCCCGTGTCTGCCCTCGGCGGCCGCCCTGGACCCCCGAGGAGCACCCACGGCCCCGCCGCCCCCAGGTTTTTAAGGAACC